ACTACTAATAGGGTTATTCGTTTCATGTAATAAGCAGCATATCGGAATGGATTACAGCTTTATCATTTATAAGTTTTGTTTTTACACTGGTATGGGAATTGAAAGATTACAAAGTACACGATGTAAAGGTATGTCATTTACTATATCTATTACCATTGTTATTGGGTCTTTTCTACTAAAACAGTAATCAAAACGTTGAATTCTTTTAAAATCTTGAGAAGTAGTATCTATACGTAAAGAAATAATGTGGAGCTGTTTTATTTAGACGAATTTAAACGTATATATGTTCACAGTTATTTGAATTTTATGGGGCAAATAATGTGAATAATCTTTGTTAATAATAATTCTGTTTTATTTGGTCCTAAACTTCTCTCAAACACAGAAATATTCGTATGGGATCAAAATATATGATCAACTCAACTATGCTAGACTAATACATAGACGAAATACAATATCCCGTACATTATATATTTATACCCACATAATTACAGTTGTAGAGCTTTTTATGATTTTATTGCGAGTGTGGTTTGTACCAATCACATATTTTACACATACAAAAATTATATATTACAATTTCTAGGATTTTATTTCATAGCAATGATTAGATTTATGAAACCTTATCAAATTTCACTGAATAAGGTGCGATAAATTCCACTAAAATAACACGTCCGTCTAGACTTGCAAAGGTTTGTACTTTAGAGGGAGAAAAAGTGTTTGAAAATGTTGCATTTTATGACCTTAGTCTTTTCATTTTTCTTTCTGAAAACATCATCAGAGCATACTTTGGAGAGAAAAAAAGTATTGGAAGCTTTTTGCAAATATTTAACGACTTGTTCTATCACGTTAATATTTCATTGATTATCTACAATTCTGTTGTGTACAAACTATGAAAACAGTTCTCAACAGCAATCAGACAGGATGTAAGCAGAATAAGCTGTTAGTCAAAATATCGTATAAATGATGCGTTTCTAAAAGACTACGAAAGCTTCACGATCAAACTATATATCTTGCACAATCCAACACCTCCAAAAAGAGTCTAGATGAAAATAAATATATTTTCTGAAAAAGATTACAGACTTCATGCCAGTTTACAAACATGATCAGTTTGATGTAGGCAACAATGTTAAACATAAAGAAGCTATACATGATCTTCGATTTTTTGAATTCTTATGGCTAAAAATTGTTTAGATAGTACATTTTTCACATGGATTACAACAGTACGAGGTATCAGTTGTGAACCGTTAATTATTTGTAAGCGTACATCCTGTTAATGCGTAAAGTGTATTCAAGGTCATTTGCAGTGCCATAATCGAGTGATTATAATAATTTTATAAGTAGAGACAATAAAACAAACAAAGCAAGAAACAATAGCATTAATTGCAATGTTGTTTAGTGATCTACTGTTCGTGTTAGATATTATTTAAATTATTTCAGTATACCGGGGGCACCTTAGGTGTAAAATATTTGTAGTTAACGTTTAATGAGTGGCATCGTGACAACAGCGATCAAACACTTGATGTTCCTATAAGTTCTCTAGTAGGATGAGATATACTTAAAGGCACAAGCACATTAAAGTCTTAGATACAACGTACAATTAATAGAAGTGATTTTATTACATGAAGAGATTGCAGCAAATTATTCCAGAGTCTCAAAAATTTAGTTGTAAAGTAATCCATTTAGCAAAATTTAGAATGAGATCATTTCTATAACTGTTCCTGCATATTGAATTGCACTAGTGAATGTGAAAAAAATTTATTGAGTATTTCAAAGAAAAAGATTAGTTTAAGTCTTCGCATCCTTGAAGGGCCGAGTCCAAGGTTTTTGCATATGGATTTATAGTTTAAAGTACAATCAGTTGTTATTGCTATACATAAAATCAAAGTACTTTTACTACCATTTCCTAATTGAGTCTAGACAAAGCATATAGGACATTCATTTTATCACAAGCAGACTTTTTTCATCTTGGAACTCAGTTAACGTTTTCATAAAAATATTAACCAATCAGTGTCTTCTTGTTTGAAATAACTACAGACTGCAGAGGAAAAAACAAATTAATGTTTTACGAAAGTATGTGGGTTTTTTTAAATAAAAAAAGACAAACGTCGAAATAAAACAGTGATTAGATTATCTAATTATCAAACCGTTCTTCTATTCTAAAGTTGGATAAATTATAATTAACCAGACTCTGAGATGCAGGTACATCCAGCTGACGAGTCCCGAATAGAACAAAACGCGCGTCCGGGATCCCACTGCCAGCCACTATCCATCTTTGCTTACCAAACTGTATTAGTTAATTATTATAAAAATACTTATGCGGTATATATATTTGATAAATTTACGTGTCAGTAGTAATGAAATTTGTTTTTTATTCATCTTTATAGATTGTTCGTCGATGGAGTATAATTAGTGTTGATAATTATGGTAATAATAATAATAATAATGAGAATATGCTTTCCTAGGATCATGTTTTTTTTCCTTCTAGATTTAAGCTTCTATTAAGTAGGAAATGAATTTCGAAACGTATCTCTTATATATCTACTGCTTTCTTTCATATTTAAGATTTCTTTATTGATGTCTATTCAATCGAAGGAAGATAATTTATTAACTTTTATGAAATTATATTTACATAGTTAACTAACCCATTATTTTTTCTCAATTAAAAAAATCATGTATACCTGTCATTTTGTTTTAACTAAAATAAATAATCAATTCCAGATTTGGTTACTGTTTATCCATCAAATCATCATAAACTGTAATCATCTCATTATAATTCCATGAAGGAAAAAAAAATAATTTCACCAAGTTTGTTCTTGTTTTGGTAAATGATATTATGATGTGTAAAAGCTAAAAAGCAAACATCGATCCAGGGATAGATGATACGTTCAGTAGATTAGATTATGAAACTGTGTACTTTTGAATATATTTAAAAGTCAAATGAGGCTATTATTTGTAAATGTGTTTTTTTTTTAAAGAATCCTGACGAATTATTCCATAATTAGACGAGAGAATACTTGATAGTTTAATAATATTGTTCTTGTAGTTTAGTCTATTGCTATTCAATTGTACTGAATAAAAACCAACAAAGTTAATGTCTGATAGTTACAAAATAAATATTTATGTAGGATAGTGTATTTCAATGTTATACCTGATGTCATTGTTACACGTGTTAATTGTGATATAGTAATTATGTACATGTTCAGATATACGGCTTTACTCTACACTATTTGTATGAGATAAAAATACTACATAAATAGATATCCAAACAAAAGCACATTAAAAAGATAATAATATTACAATTGATGAGTTGAAAATGAATTTTATTTATTTGAACACATAAATATTGGTACAAGAGAGAACCGGATATGTATGCGCCACACAAAAAACTGTCATTTCATTTATTTGTGTGAGGGCTGTGATACTACCCAGGTGCCCAAACTGAAACAGATGGTTTTCTTGAGGGGCCACACCCCGAGCCTTTGACCTAAAGGTCTGATCCACAAGGCAATGGAGCATCATCAAGAGATGCAGTCCCATGGTAGCCGGTGACCAACAATAAGTTCATATATCATTTGTTCCCTCAGGATACTGGAGCCCATGTGCACCATTGGTTTGGAATCAGGGTTTTCCAACTCCTCTAGGTGAACTTTCCGTGTCCATCAACCCGGTTAAAGCACCGGACATTCGCTTTTCGTTGTGTTAATTTCGTAAATAACACCCCCGCCACGAGAAGGCAGTGAGTAGGACTTCCCTGGCAGAGACTATATACGTGTGGCCATGAGAGCATTTGGAGAGGGAGAGCGGACTCCCCACTCTCGGCTGTACCAGGGCATTGAAAATCAAACACTAAGAATTTTAAATATCGAACTATTATGAAGTGGTTCTCAACCGCAAATAATTTTTCATTGCTTGCTGAGAAAAATTAAAGCTATGAAAACATAAATTAACTATTTGTTTTTTTAGAATCACTAAAATAAGAGTATTCTAGAATTGGTAGTCCGGGAATGATAGTTTTTTTCCAAATTTCGATATAAGAGGAATAGCGAAGTCCATTAATTGATTTTAAGATTTAGATTGTCGATTGGAATCTACAACAATCGCTACTTAGTTGCAAGCAAAAGGAATTGTGCATTTTTAATTTTCTTGCACTGGTATAACTCAAGGGATCTTCAGATGTGGTACGGATATACATAATGTATAACGTCGTATGATATTTAGCAAAAGTGAATTCTCTGATCATGAATGTCTAACTTTTCAAAAGCATAGTTAGCAGCAGTGCATAAATCGAAGAGATTTATGATCAAATACTACATATGAACTATAATGAAGTAACATTACATTTAAAAAATCAGCACATAAACCACCCTTCATACCAAAAAGTGACCGACAATCTAATAACTTAACCTTTGCAGATTTTGAGAGGCATTCAGAACTTGAACTTATTACCAGCATTTTGATACACTCACTTGGTAATTGAGGAAATCTGCCAGTACTATGAAGTAGATTGGTTTTCTCATTTGCTCATTACGCAAAATGCAAAAAGTACGGTAGGTTTACTGGATAACTCGGCCAGTGCATTTGATGTATGGGAGCTGAATTCACCAAGCTTGAAAATAAACTCAATTCTATAGATAACAATCGCGAGTGTTATTTAGTAAGCAAATGTCATAACATATCTTTTAGTCATTTGATCTCAGGTTCGAGGAAGGGCCAAAAATTTCGGTTCGAATGGCTGGGTAGTATTGTGGTGTGGGCAACTTATATCCACTTAAGTAGTACGAAACCATGGTCGGCTATTGAATGTATTTCAGTAGAAGATCGATAAGGAGAGAACAGGACGCAATTGGCATGAACAATAATCATCTGAGACTGATATTTGCAGAAGGAACGGTCAAGATTGAGATAGTCGATTTGTAGTTTGCAAATTAACTGTTTACTACATACTTCTAATATTTTTACTGAGATATTCTGTAATTTTGTGCCTAAATACATTCGGTTGTTCCACTTGTGTTCTTGTTCACTACAGTATCACTGACCTGTACAAACTGAGTTTCAAGGCTGACTACTAGAATATGTAATTGATCTATAAGTTAAATCATCTCTAAAATGGAAGAATCTTCAAAGTGTCATTTTCTTTCCCGTCCCAAAAAATACAGAAGGCTTGATATTTTTGTGAATCAAATTTGTTCTTTCGATAAAAGTAGAAAAATCAACATAAAGAAATAGATTACATAGTGTATTAAGTAAAAAAACATGACTGTTACGCTGTATGATAGAAAATTGTAGTTCTAATGAAATGGATCAAAGTATTTTGTTCTTATTCACTGAATTATAATCACAAGAACAGAAAGTGATGACTTAAGCGAGTAGAGGTGTTTGTTCATTGTTTTCAGGCGCGATAACTATGCGCCTTATCTAATAGAAAACAAAATTAATTAGACAGATTAATCATCCTGTTAAAAATCGTCATTCACAATGTTAATAAGTCTGTCAAAATCAATAACTTAACATCAAAATTCAAACACATTTGGCTAGTTAGCTGGTGTAGTGTAAGCATTAGACAAAATGATCTTAATAATGAATTATAAACAAATAACTGGCAAAAAAGTGTAAATCACTAAGACTGGGTCTATGTTTACATCTAACTATAATGGTAGTAATTCTATAACCACCACACAGGTCTAGGCCCTGTAGACCAAAAGTATTGTAAACAATGGGTTATTTCAGCCTCTGGACAGGTCAGTCTGTTCATTTTCATGAAGCCAGATTTCTGCCCTGTCATTTATTCGCTTATTAATCGTGTGTGTTAATGACTATAAATACGGGTTTGAGCTTGGTCAAGTTGAGTTGGTTCACTCGCCTTCTCCACCGCGTGTCATCTTGTTTCTCTGACCGTGTGCCTGAATCAAAGAATCTGTGAAATATACGTATTCGAAATCCATTCTTGTCTTTGACTTACTTTAATCCCGTTGTTCACTGACGCGAGTTGAGTCAATAATAATATACGATAATTGGTAGCATATATATTTCGACAACAATGATTCATACGATCCCATCGGAGTCAGATATAGGGCTACTAAATATTAAGTAAGATGACTCATTTTTCTTATTGAATTAGTTGGGATTACTTAAAAAAGCATATGGATTGAAAACGTGATGATAATATTGGTAGCTACTCCTATGATATGATCAACAGGTCCAGTTTTTTTATTTCTACAGAACAAAATTTTTATGGGTATGTAATCTTAATTATAAATCCAGAAAATATGAGGCTTTATTTTTATCATTTCTTTGCACTGTGACTACTGAAAGTAGTCAAGAATTAAACTTTTATACTTGGTGGGTCTAGTATGTTTTTGACAAACAAGAAAACTCTTGATGATGCTGATGGATATGAAATTTTCATCACTTATAAGTGTAAGTATTGTTTAGACTACCTAGGTTTTCTAGGTATGCTGAACAACATAAATAATCATGATGGACTTTCAGTTTATTATATGGTCACAACACTATTTTAGAACAAAATGAATTTTAGTTATTGATTTTGAAGAAGTGACTAGGATTGCCACAGAACGTAAGAAATAGAATGTTCTACTCGTTGTTATATCACATCTGAGTCATTTAAATTTCTTATAATTGTAATTGAGCATTATATTAGAAGAATAAGTAAGTCGTAATGCCAACTTTGCAAAATTAGATAGTGAGATACATTGATTACTGGAAATTTTGAGTGTTGGGATGATATTTCTGCATATTTGTTCTGATTGGACATTGCTCCGTAAAGTAAATTTTACCATCATAAATGATAATGCCAATTGTAAAAGCTTACTTTAACCGATTCTAACTCATAGTTTCTCAATTCGAATATCATAGAAGCGAAAAACAGTAAGAATGTGAAGGACATTAACCATTCGCAAAAGCTACTCATTACATGATATTTAAAACCCTACAAGAAAGAGAATAAAATATAGTTATACATCAGATATAAGTGATTTTTAACTTTATTGAACTTTCCTAGAAACTGACAAAAAGTTACGACTTTATAGCTATAGAAAGTTTAAAATTACTGCCAAATGCTAAATAATATAGAGTAATGTATTAGCATAGTCCGGTTTATATCATAGCGCGGTTCTCAAAAAAGGATATGATCCGTTACAATTCCTTCAGATGATTAAATTAGAAATAATAAGCGGAAAACACTAGGTAAGAGTCCTCCAAAAATATACAGTAATCTATACAAAACTAAAAATGAGCAAGAATACACTTTATAATTTGATTAAATCTACTGGATCGAATCACGACTGTAAAACTAAATTTTATTTCGGATACAGCAGTGTAATTTAATAATCTAATCATTTGAATCTCAGTTATACAGTCGACAAATTCCGCTGTAATCGACATGAATGAATTATGTCTAGATTAATGTAACCATAAAGATATAAGAAAAGAGTAATTTATTTCTGTTTATTTACAGATGTGCGGTATAACTGAATATAGGATAGATAAATTAAACAATGCAAAGTAAATCACTGTATTGCGTAACAACAATTAGTTTTCTTATTTACAATCGAGCACAGTTAATTACTTAAGTTCTATTTTTTCATCAGATGATCACAATTTATGAAGAAATAAATTAAATAAAACTTGATCATAATTACATGTACAATATACATGTAAGAAAAGAAAATAATTTCGTGTATAATAATTACCAAATAAATGTAAACAATTATTACATCTATGATCAATTGAGTAAAAAATAACATTATGAAATAGTTCACAATAGCTGAAGTAACTATCTGCAGTCATTGATCAAAATAAAAATAGTAAGGAAATAAGGTGAGGGATGTAAATACACGTGAAAAAGGGTGGAATGAGTTGATTCAATAGTGTTACGATGAAGGAGACCGCAACAAGTAAACTTTATTGTTGAGTGAAATGAAACAAATTAGTTTAAGACTAAAAATTACTAGTTATACTATAATAAACAATTGTAGCTCAATAACATTAGTCATAAAGAAAAAACTCCTAAACTAGCACTAATAAAAATAAGGTAAATAAAATAAGACCGTATATATATATATGTATATATATATATATATATATATATATATATATATATATATATATATATATATACTGGTTTTAAAGTGTATCAGCAGCTAAATAAGCTTACCGCTTCAGATGGATCCCATTTTCTAGGGAATGGACCGTGGATTTCCCCAGATAAATGCCCAAAAATGAAGACTAGAATTAATGAAAAAAAAACAATAACACATAAATCAAGTTCACGATCCTGAGAAAATATAAATATGGTTGTTTAAAAAGATAATTTGTTACAAAAAAGACGACATAGTGACGGGAAGTTGATCATGATAATTCTTTTTTTTGAGTTAACATTCGTAATGAATTATCTGAACAACGGGAAGAGTGCGACGTCTTTTATACTGTAAGGCTCAATATAATAGGTGATTATCAGAATTGTTTTCCATGTATAAAGAATAATTTTAATCAACTACTGAGAACTCTTGTCCTGAGAAATATACACTTCCATTTTGTTAGACTGTGTCACAAGTATTTATAAGAGCAAACTGATAACGATTTACCCTCGGAAACACAGGAAAAAATTGAGTTGATCTCCAGTAGATTTTTGAAACAATTTAGATGTGTACTCATCAGATGATAATAAAAAACTTTACTGAAACTATTATCTGAGGGAAACTGGAGAAATCAATCACAGCTATCAATAGTCAACAGAATTTTTAAAAATAATTTTAAGCTCAATGAAAAAATAAGTGTAAAGCAAAGATATAAGTAAAAACTGTCAATGTTATTGTTGGACATGTGTATACACGTTTAACCCGATACATTTTATGTAACTTAACCTAAAAAGCCATGAAATATTATAAATGAAAAATAAAGATTGATATAATAGTAAACCTTTTTAAAACTATACGCACCTCCCAGATTCGCGAGAAAACCGCAAATAGTTAAGATTAAACGGAATACATATATTTTGAAATTGTATTCTAAATGTTTACGTGTAGAATAGGTGACTAACGCTGAAAATACGACTCCCAATCCGAAAGTCATCATTGCACCGATTAAATGAACAACTATTAAAGATGCTTCCTAAAAGAAAATGAAAAGATAACTAAATACATGTTATATGGAGAAAAAATTGTCTAACCTAAACCAAACTACTAATAAGTAGATGAAGCATTTAAAGTAACATTCTAATCATGAAAATTAGGGTAGCAGTTTACTTTGAATTTGACAGTCGGTTACTGATTTATTTAAGAACATGATGCAAAAACAATTATTCCACATGAAGTTGCTAATATCATGGGATAGCCTAAATTAGTGAAATTGAAGGGACAGAATACTAAGTAATGTCACTAATCAGCATTGGAGAGAACGTTGTACTGTGGAAAAGTTGAGAGTACCTTTAGTAAATCATCGTCCATTCCTTAATTAATTGAAGTTTCTCAATAATCATTGGTTGAGAAAGAATTTCTTGGTTTGGATTAAGCCAATTAGTCAATGAGTTAATTTCAAATACTTTCAGTTTTCCAGATATCTTGTTCAGAGATTTCGATTGAAGTTACATCCAAACCAAAATTCACTAACATAAATGATATTCGATACTTCAGAGTTATTAATTATTTTAGATAGCTCTTAAAGTGACATACTATCTAGGTTGAGACAAATAATAACGATACGAATTTCACGACCATGAATGATTTTATTGGTGGTATAAAATTTCACAGACATTACGGATATAATAAGAGTGATAAATGATCTAAATAAATTCAAAATTAATTCATTGTATATTAGTTGAGTTCAAAATGTCAACAATCCATCAAACCTACACATAATGAAACTGAAACATGCAATCTACTTCTGAATTTAAAAAGTGTTACATCATATAACAATACTAAAAACAAAGAGATACAGTTCAGAATTAATCAAAACATCACAAAATCACTTCATTTATAGGGTATATGTATGTGCATTTAATGGTCAATGAAAACTAATAAATCCAGGTAAAATAAACATTTAATAACTTGAAACACATATAATGACACGTGAAACTTGTATCACTTATGATGCTTAATAATACTATTGTAAAACGAACAAGTCAAAACTACTGCGATCAATTTTGAATACAAAAAATTAGTTGATTGAAATATTTTTCATTTACAGACGATTTGAAGAGCATATCCCTATAATCGGAATTTTCGATAATATTATTATTTTTAGACAGAATTAATATGCGTCTATCATTGAATCAACAGGAAATAATATCAGAACAGAAAGAGGACATCAATAATAATTAAGAATAAGATAAAAAGTAAAAGAATCGACTATAGTGACACTTCATAAACGAAGATAGATAGGACCTCGCATCATTATTTTCTAACAGCTTAGGAACTTTAATCATGGACGTTCCGCTTATGAGCACTGAAGTTTTGAAAGTTCCTTGAAACTTTTGGATGCAAGCTAGCCTACTCAGGCAAGTAATGAGTTCAAAGTTAGACGTAGATTCCTGCCCATACAGATTTTACAGAGTATGAAATCTGGTAGTTAGAGGTTACTATCACTTTGGAAACATTCGATTCGTTCCATAGAACTGAACAATAAGATTACTTGTAGAGAAAGAGTGTGCGAAGGAAGTTTATCTGCATTTTGAAGGCTCTTTATATAAACAAATTAGGCGATGTGAAGGTAGGTAACCACCTCTCTTCATTGTTCCAATCGAGAAGTGGGGTTGGGGAGGACTGTCAAATTTAACCACTCCTCTGTAATGCTCCTACTAATGACATTTTGGAAATACCAATAAGGGAAGAAAGTAGTAGTACTGTTGATCGAAGCTCAGAGATAAAACTTTTGACTTCGAGTACACAGATGATGATACACTTTTCCAGGGTGCACTTCATCAAGTGGTAATTAGTATCCATATGTATGGTATGTACTTCGAAACTTTGGATTTGGAGGGCTGGAAGATATCTGTGCATACATTTAATTGTTGTGCTGATCTGTTAGACTTCCATATTGAACATAATTTTCCGACTCTGGAGCTGGTTTTAAAAAGCGGAGAGGAGATTACTTTATGACTTGGAGCCGTGATATAAAAAAGCTGTACAGGAGAGACATCTATCGGTCCATCATAATCCTCTGGTTGGGGTCCAAGAGATGGTGCAAATTAGTGGCTTAAGACGTTATAGGACATGCATCGGAATAGAAACCTATGACAGTCCTGCTGTAGTTTTATTTCTTATCCTTCGTCCGATCGATAAATCACTGCCCCCTAATTGGCAGTATTATCACGTTATACATTAATAGGGCATCCAGGCAGCACAAGTTATAACACAGTCCCACCATGCTTTGTTCAAGCTATTTAAAACACACACCTAATTTTTGTAGCATTCATTCACTCCAAAATCTTATACACTGAATAAAAACCTCAACAAAAAGCAGATACCTGGAAATTAGCTACAATCGACATTCCCAGTGCGCTTAGACAGCCAATGATGCAAGTAAGACGTGCAAAAACAATGTGAGAGTTAGGTCCTTGAAGTATGTATATTACATTGCACTCATGTAGATACCAACAATAAATACATACAAAAGCTGTGGTAAAAAAAATAAACAAATACAAACAGCATAAATTACAATGAAGTACAAATTAAGTGTTGTGCGAGAATAGTAAGCACTTTGTGTAGATTCTATTTATCAAGGCTGAAAAGATTCACTTTAACAATGGTACACTTACACGACAAACTAGTAAGTTTTCTTAAGTATCATTTCGAAGTCAAATCTACTTGCAATCGCTAGACAGCTATCTGCAATTAACATGAAGACTGATGAAAACAATATTTATAGACAATAGAAGGTGAAGGATCCTTCCCCTTATCTAAAATGAATCCTGATGGATCCACCTAAAAATATTGATTAACTGAACAGCTATACCGTGTGATTTTCGACATGCTAGGAAACATGAAGCCCCAAGAAAGCAACACCACTATCTGCTGAAGATATTCAATAACAATGATACAAAATCAAACCAAAAGTGACTGTGTGCGAGAAACCGTAACTAGTAGATTGGTAATAACTTAAGCATAGTAGCTCATAGGTCAAATGAAAGCTTATGACCAAAGAAATATAAATATAGATATCTATATAGTAATAGTCTATAAATAATTCCTGGAAGTAACCAGTCATTCATTCTTCGTTCAAACATAACAATTTCATTTGGATTTTGTGAAACGTAGTCACTTCAACAACATACTACATGTCCACAAATAGAGTTATTTTGATGTAAAGTAGTTCAATTAAAAAGTTAAGACAGGAAATTCAATGAAGTTCATTACGCAAGCACGAAATGTTTTGATGTCACAAATGAGAGAATCGAATTAGATGATATGAACAAACAAGCTTAACCAGTGTATTCAGTCCAATGTAGTTCAATTCACTGACAGACAAATAGTTAGTAAACGTCTAAAAAAGATAAAAGTAGACAATTAATTTATCTTGATGAGGAGATTAATTAAATCTCCCCTTAGTGTTCGTTATAAAGCAAATGTTCTGAAAAAAATTTTATAATCCGTTTTGGAATCGAATTCGTCCAAATATTTTAAAGGAAATAAAATCTTGATTAGTAATTGCAGTAAAATCTCAAACTTCAAAGAAACAACCAATCACTTCTTTATAGAAAAAAGAAAAAGCCACCAATAAATAATGTACATTTTCAGTGAACCTGTCATGTTTGAACAAAAGACAACGGATATAATAACAACTTACAAAGAAACGAACATATATTGAGCAGTTGACCAAATACGCAGCTTTCAGGCGGTAGAGCACCAGTATCACTGAGTTAAAAAACAAAATTTAAAAACATATAACGGCTAATTTAAAAAGTCTAAGAGAATCGCTTCACATGGATAACACAAACATCCAAATAAAAGCATGGAAACAATTTACGAATTATAGGCAAACAAATGAATCACACTAATGGATTACAGATTAGAAAACCACCATTTATGAAATGTGGAATAATACATAGTACTCATTTGTCTATAACTATAGAGAACTATCAAATATTAGTCTGTGAATGATATATATATATATATATATATATATATATATATATATATATATATATATATATATATATACTGAAATATAGTTATCAGGGTTACATTTTGACGATACATAAATTTTGTTTGATTGGAATGATCAGTCGCTATGAAAGGTGAATAGATATGTAGATCAGAATATTATGCGTAAATATTAATCTAACTTCAATATAAAGTATTTGTTTTAGAAATCTATAACCAAGCAAAATAACAAACACATATAAGTTATAATTGTATTTTTTGTCTTATAGACAATTAATAATTGCTGCGACAAAACAACTAACGTAAGAAGGGGTTTTTACTAGTCACCAAAAACTTCTGCAACTGTAGTGAAGTATTTATATTTATACCATTTTTAAGGGTTAAATAACTATGCCTAAAACTTAATTACATCCATAAGCTTCCGGTTATATGACACCCAAAATTGACCTTTTTACTATATACTTTGATAACTTTGAAGGTAATCATGTGTGAAAACTATAGAGTTAATTTAAAACTGAAAAACATATAAAACTACTCAATTTCTTTTAAAATATATCTACTACTTACAATATTTCAGTTTGTGAGTACTATAACCCAACTTTGGCCCAATTACAACCTGCTTCATGAGGAATTTAATTGCTAATAGTAATTACACATAAAATGTAGTGAAATAATATTTAATTTGAAATTATTGTAAACAATAAATTTCTAAACATTACAAATAAACGGGTAAACAATTTTTATGCAGTGTTAAACTGGGAGTGTTGATTTCGAAATGATTTCCTTGGACATAGTTTTAATTAGTTATATGGCAAGTAATAGTCTGATCAATTAGAATGAGAATGATGCATGAACTAGATTTTTTCCAATCATGTGTGACATGTATCCATCACATCGTAAGAACGATTATAGATGCTTAGTTGCTGAAAAATTCCCATCATATTAGAACACAATTATATGAACGAAGAATATTCTTTTCAATAATTTCTCATCAGGTTCTACAATTATAGATCCAAATTAATAATACACAAATGATGTACTCTGCCTTAAACTTGGCCAATTTTTTGTGGATTATTGATTTGTATTTATAATTCTAGAACCTGATGAGATGCTTAGTTGTATAATATTGTAAATGTATGCTTGCATAGTAAGTTATTGGATTATTATTGTTAAATACGACTCAGTTCAATTTACATATATCTGACCGTTAACCTAACAGCAAATAAATCATATAAAATGTGGTGTATTCTTAAATCATTTCGATCTATTTTTGGAGTAAAATAAATCCTTATCACCACTCTTGGCTTTTTTTCTCTTGTGTTCGGATTTGGAGTGTAGATTTGGACTGGGGCTATTAAAATAGCTTAGCAAACCGATTCAAGCGTTCAGTTAGAAAGTAACGTTTTTCATAAACTGCCATCAGAAGAAGGATCACTTAAAACTAAGGGTCACTGAAAAACGTTTTCGTCGAGGTTTGATTATCCTCAACGGTGATTAGTTAAAGTCCTACACGGGAACAAAGATGAAACCATAAGATATCGTGGTAAGATAAAGTTTTAAGAGCAGCAAAAAAGATAAACAGCATAATATCAATAATCAGTGGAAAATGTAAAAGTGAAGACTCCGAAAGAAATAAGTAAAGATATGAAAAAAACACTAATCACCTAATCGGCACTGAATAACATGACAAAAATTTGCAGTCTAATACGAGATTTTAGATGGAATGATTAGAGCTTCCTGAGAAGACAGTATTTACTCAACTTGATAGTAAATATATGGACTCCACACCTATAATTACTGATAAACTATTTTTAAAATATATGAATTAGATCAAAAAATACCTTCTGTAATCTTCTAACAAGTAAAAATGAAGGAATCTCTGATAACTAAAGCATCAATTTCGCCAAAATAGTGGATTTTTTTAATTCCGTATATTTTAACAATAATGAGAACTGTAAAGAAAGTGAATACGGCATCAAGGTTCAAAATCAGAAAACTATGAACTAAAAGCATGTATAGTAATTATAACTATAAGTAAACTACATCGTTTGTTCAATTATCCTCCGTTTCCATCTATATCAATCAATTTACCACGCAAAAATGATATAATGAGGCGAAAGATGCAGAAACTTAACCTTTGGGACTAATATATGGAGGACCATTTATAATCTTACTGCATAATTAGTAGACGCTTACAATGTTGTATTTTTATCTTCTCCTATTTGTAAGCTTTAAATTGATCCATAAATATTTGCCATGTCTTATTATTCCAGATTTATCACTACTTATTTTCTTAATTACTTTGATTTTGTATCATCTGTGACGAAGTTATGCATAAATTCTACTTTTTTGTGTTTCCGTGCGGTCAGACATTTCAGGTACATTACTGCATAGATTTTGAGTTGTAATTGAATTGAGTACAAAAGGGAACGCATCTGTTTTTTAATTTCGTCTTCTGATTAGCTGAGTGTTCGGGAGCTTGAGGACCAATAAGTGTTAAGGCTTTGATTGTTGTTCCTCGGTCAATGTGTCAACTGGTACTTAGACGGGTCACCGTTCCAGCTGACAATATCGGTGAACTAGTCAGTAATAAGACTAGAAAGAAAGAGTTTATGTAACGGCTTTTTTCGTGAATACATCCGTGTCACAGGGGACTTAATACAACTTAGGCAAGCAATCTGAGTCCTTTTCCAACATAGCAATCCGTGCTTTACTAAATTTAGCAGTCAGTACAAGGACTTCCATTTCCACATTCGTTACATTCAACATGGTTTATCAAGTCTCCAACTACTGATTTTTGATATTGCGAAGACTTAGACGTTAAGGCTTGTAGCTCCTCGCACATTTGCAAAACCAACTAGTACTTTACAGAACGGTACTATGTCTTAGCTTTAAAATCCTGTCTGTCTACAAATAAGATTATGGTCCAAGAAAGTAAAGTTTTGTAGTTGTGAAAAATGTATTCAAACCATTCGGTCAATGAAAGTTAAAAACATAACTGAATAGTATATCTTTGTTACTGAACCCCGTTAAACAAAGGGAGTGCAGTAGAAATCAATGATCTCTTTCTAAGAGTTAGATATTAGTATAAAATATCCAGATTAATGGAAATGGATAACACGTTTGGACCAACGTAAATCATTACCAATGAACAGGTAAAGGTGTTACAAAGAATACAAAGTTACTCATATCCTACAAAACGGTTTCCTATGATAAACTGGACATTTTCCCGTGCAAATGATCATTATTCCCTCTGCGCTGCTTACTGCTTCAGAAAATATTGTGTGGAAAATCCAACTGATTTTGCGTACATTTCAGAATGTGATAATTAGTTACCCAGATGTTAACCTAACCTAAATATGACTTCGACTACCAAAGGTACTGACTAACAACGACAAGTAACTGGGCAGAAAGAAACAAATATCTGCCAAGTCAACAGAAACGGAACGAACTGAATAGAAAGCGGCTAAATATGGGACTGAAAAAAGTACCAAAAATTAGGAGGTAAAAAGCAACATAGTCTATGCATGATATATAAATGTAAACATCTAACACCCCACAAATTGCTCACCTTATGTATGGAAAGATAAAAGACGCATGATGGTCTGACGTCGAAATTAGGTAGCTAGAAAAAAAAGAAGTTCGAATAAATGACAATGTTCAGCAAAACCAATGCAATTTACCATGTTAATAAGTTCTGTCATATTAGATGGCAGCTAAATGTTTTATGACACTAATATAGACAGACTAATTCCTTGATTCATATAAAAGAAGTCTCATTTCAATGATTTTGATAACATATAGTATCAACAACCTCCACATCACATTAGTAATTTATAACCTACTATATGAAATAATATACGTCTTCCCCGTCAATTTTGGCGAACAGAAAATTAAAACTTTGAAAACTATGAGGAATGGAATAACGCTAAGTTACTGAATGGATTCACAATCATACCGACTGGTTCGCTGCTATACCTTCGACTTTTAAATTACCAATTAATGTCCTTGGTTGAGATTAAATTATATCTCTACTTTTCTAAAAGTTGTTCTTTTGTGGGAGAATGTAATGTTTTCATGGATTAATGACTCTATTACAAAATTGATGTTCTAACATTACCTGTACTTCACGGTAACGTGTAAAAGAATGAGTTTCAGTTATTATTAACACTATTTAGTATACAACTAACAACTGATAAGAAACCAGTGTTTGAGACAGCAAGTCATCTTAAAGTATTGAGGAAATTTTTTCCTAAAGATGATGTCACCGAAATCTGCTAACACTAAAACGTGAAAATGCTGTCTCGCAAATTACTTATTATTAAAGATTTCCAAATGTAAACTAACCATGATTTCAAACAGAGCCAGATATTTAATTAACAAGGAAGAAGTACTTACCTTATAGAAAATGTGCCTACAATGGCTAAAATCAATCCAATGACGAAATAATGAACCGCAAATGAAGCCATGAATTAAAACAATTGAACTACACGAGTTGAATATTTGAAAATAAGTTTGCCTAGAGTCAAAAACACACGAAGGAAGTGAAAGTAACTAAAAAACCTGCCCCAATAAAGCCATTGATAGAATGCATTCAATCAATTAAAAACGCAACATACATAATTAGTAGTTGATGATCCTCACTTTCTTAAAAACATTTAAGGAATTAGACCACAGGTACTGCTCAATATGTTAACATTGCTGCTCAAACACTTCAAGCGAAGCACCATTTTAAGTTAGATCTTCGTCAAGATCCTTAACAGACATGCATGCTTCAGCTGTAAGAAGCTAAAACGGAACTAAACAATGACTACTACTACTAATTGTTAAATACAATATAAGTCCAAAAATAAGATTGTATTCACAATAATTACTTTGAATTTAAATTCTAAATAGAGGACAGTCATAAATATCTATAAGGCACGTAGAGGAAGCAGTATAAACATCTTTTAGCGTCAAAAACACCTGGAACAGCAACAGGTTTGAGAAGGTAGTTCACTAACCTAGAGTTACTGAGTATTTTAATTTTTAAGATCTCTAATGTCTATAAAAGATATGGCAATCCTGCTGGATCACATATGACATTAAATGCGTGGAACGGTGGGAAGAGTAGAGTAAAAAATAGAACCCAACGATCCACAGCCACACACTACATTTTCTTGTTCACACATAATAATCGGTTGTACGAAATAAGACCTAAAAACTAAACGATTGTGCCCTGTAATCGAAATGAACGTTTGGTAAATCAAACTGTTTTAACTAAATAGCGATTATTTGGAAGAAACATGTTCACAGATTACATAACCTAGTGATTCACATTAATAAAAGCTTTCAGGCTCTAAGCCCCTATAAAAATTGAATTGAACACTTCGGAAAAGTAACATGAGACAAAAGGCAATGATGTATCGAAATGGGTGAGACGATAATTCATGGACGACCTTTGAACGAATCCTGAGTGACCTTGAGAAATATTAGCCATTCAGTAAACAGTCAGCATAGAGTAAAAATATTATACAAAACCAAAGAATTAAAGTGGATGCACTTCTTTTGAATGATCTAAAAACTTGTCAAGGTAAGAAAGAGGTTCAAAGGTTTGTAGCGGTAAATGAATCCCAAAAATCAATAGCTCTGTAAGTATTCGACATTGGATGCTGACCACATTAGTTTAAGTGGACTTGTTTTGCTGAAGGCGTTTGGTCAATCATCCGCACCAGATCACGTTACAGCACAGCGTGGGAAACATCTCCTACGATCATTAGCCAGATTACATCAGTCATTTCGCGATAGATTGATAACCCATCAAATATATCTTCCAACCTCTACGCTTCTGACTTCTGAATTTAACTGGATGGGTGCAATTCGATTATAGGTGTTACTGGTAAAGAGTTGTCAAACTACAATACTGGTGGTATCTTCAAGCTTATCAGACAGTTACAAATTATGGACTGTGAGTAAGGCTTCGATGCAATGCTTTAATTGACTATAGTGTGAAGTATAGGTTTCCAATAAGAGTATAGGCATTAAGATGGTATAATGTAGGATAGTTGCTTATCAAAGTAGGCGGAATTCTGTAGATATATATTAGTTACAGATAAGTTAAGATAACGAGTGGTGAAATAATATTAATGGCAAGGCAATATAGTGTATAGAAGAGTAAAAAGCTGATAAAGAATAGACAAGAAGGAACTGACACTAACTTCGTACTGATGTTCTTTTGTCTTATCCTAACATGTTCTATAGATGTACGACCACTGCTGGTAGGCAGTCGATTGTGAGTTTCTTTTGACTTTTCAGGGTATTCGTAAGCGTCGTTTGGAGACCGAGTATTGATACGTCCAACAAGTTGCCTGTATACTTAAATGTTTTAAAAAAATCAGGGGTGTGAAAGTATCTAATACAAACACAAAATAGTGAAATAAGGCAATTCAGTTTATATATGTGGAGAGCCTATGATGTCTGTGTGGGACGCGGATTTATTCGTTTGCGCTAGATCTGTGTAGGTGAGGGCTTGATCGATAAGTCTTACAAACGTATGTAATTTATCTGCCATGCCTATTTCAGAAGGAAGACTGTTTCGTATTAATGCATACTTGATGAGGAAGAAGTTTTCCCGAGTTTTTGATCTGTATTTCTCAGTTTTGACTGTGGATAGTTTGTCTCAAAGGTTGTATCCATGTGGGTCTCGGGAGAGAACTATAATACATGTGGAATAAGTATGATTTTTGAGGAGTTTGAAATAGAGAACCAAGTTAGACCTAAGCCTTCTTTTGCAGAGGGGTTCTAGTCCTAAGATATGGCATCGGGATCTGTAGTCAGTGAGTTGGTCGTTCTTAAGTATTTTGCGAGTGAAGTCTCGCTGTATTCCTTCCACCTTAGGTACATCGGATACGCGTAGGTTGGAATGATTGTAGTTTCGTTTTGAAAGAAGTTACGAAGAATGAAGCCAAACGATATCCACATTTTAGATGCTTTAGTTGAGATATGTTCTGAGAAGTTAAGACTGTCTGAGTAATGTATCCCTAGGTCTGTTACTGATATCAGTCTGGGCAGTGGGTTTTTGATAAGTGCTAGTTTTATTTTGAGAGACGTATCTCCAATACATAACCAACCGCATTTCTGTTTGTTGGGCTCTAACCCCCAGCGTTTGCACCAGTTGTCCACCTCGTTGGGTTCATTTTGGATTATTTGCATAGTACTACGTACATCGCCAATGTCAGTTTTGTAGATGACTTTTAAGTCATCAGTGTAGATGTAGGTCTTATCTGTGATAAAGCACTTGCATATATTGTTGATAAATATTAGAAAGAGCAATGGACTCAGGACACTACCCTACACAACACCGCTGGCTATTGATTAAGGTGTAGATGTTGTGGAACTAATCTTGGCTATTTGGTATCTGTTTGTGAGGAAAGACAATCCATTGCCATATGGGATTTATAATACCAACTGACTGGAGTTTGTTGATTAGAAGATTATGAGGTACTTTATCAAAGGCTTTCTTTATATCGAAATATAGTATAATCACTGGCTTCTTGTCACGTATGCGAGTAACCTTGTTAAAGAGGTTTATCAGACATGTACTGCAGGACCTTGTTCTAATGAAGCCGTGTTGTGATGGGTCTATTAGATCTTCCTTAAGTAGGTGATCAGACAGTTGAGTTAGCATCACTTTTTCCATTATGCGTGATATAGCTGGAGTGATATTTATAGGTCTGTAGTTTTTGAGCAGGTTTCTCGGTCCTGATTTGTGTTTGGGAAAAACATACGTTACTTTCCAGACATCAGGTTATGTACCCGCCTCTAACAGATTCCGAAATGGTAAAAGAATTATAGCCCGAATCCTTATCAGCAAATATATACTCGACCATTTCGGCACTGCTCAAGGACACCACACTAACACAGGTGCCTTCATAGCATATAAGATACCTGCAAGAACTAGCATCCGAGACAACTATATAGTCGCCTCAACATCATTCTAGAACGCCGATCTCCACGCTAGTTGCCTTTCGGCTCAGAGTGATAAGCATCGTTCATCATTGCCGATGTCCCATTTCCTACAGCACTGCAGATAATGGACGTTTTGTATTACAGCAAATTCGTAGACTTGAAAGCTCAAGCAAACGAATCTAAGGCGTATTTCATTCACGTGACGATATATTCCACGCTTTTTTTAGAAATTCCCACAACTAAGTACACCTCTCGAGGAGATCCCATAGGTGACTAATTGTGTGGTATACCACATAGTCACTCACTGACCACAGTCGCAACAAAACCTTGCCGACTGTCGCTGACAAATTGGCTTTCAATAAACGTGAGTTCAACAATTTACTGGCTACTGGTATTATTCGCTCTTCTCAAAGTCCCTGGGCCTCACCCCTCCACATGGTTAGCAAAATGGATTGGGTTAGTTGGAGAACATGTAGCCACTACCGATCATTGAACGTAGCTACACCTTTTGATAGCTAACTCAAACAAAAAATATAGCATGTTAATCCTGGTACTGTCCCGCATAATAGACATTCGCTGAAAACTCAAGGATCACTGATAGCTGCTTGTTCATTAGCCCTTTCGTCCTACAATCTCACGATTGGCGGTCAGTCCCACGAACGAAAACACTAGGTAACATAAGTGTAAACCCTTTGTAGCGGATGGCCTCTGTAGTGTGCTGCATTAATAAAGCATATACGATTAGTATGACGGAAGCAATTATTTTAATCAATTGTTTCATTATTTCACTCTACCTATTCTTTCAGTAGTACCAAAAAACACTCTTCTGTCGTTTGTGAGCTGGTAGGAACTCGCGTACCCTGAGTAATCTCGCTTTTGGATTTTGGCACGATCTTAGTATTATTTCAATTACGTGAAATCGCCAACACGTACATCTTTCAACAATTTCCTATTGCCTTCTAATATTTGGCCTACGGAAGGATCTAACCTAATAACTGGAACGTGGTATTCCTGCAGCGATAATCACAGTCAGCCGCTACTCGATACCTACCACAATACTACCATTTATTGTCAGTGTTTATTAACAATTGAACCAAATAATCAGAGAACCAAGGATCTGTTGTTGGAAATCAAATCACGCTCGTTTGAAGGTAATGATTATCTATGAGTATATGTACACATATATATTACACAGAAGTAATTCTGTTTTACCATTTTATGCAAGTACATTTCACCTACATCTCCATAGTGGATATAAACAGTGTGAAGTTTGTAACAACATCAACGTAAATTCACTAATATCACTTAACTGACAGGTACATGAATAAAGGAAGACGTGTTTATGTCTATAGTTTGTCTTTAAACACTGATCAGTATTTTATCGTGACGTTTTCAATAACGCCGAAATGAGTTATGAAATATGCTAACTACAAATAATAATGTGTGTTTGAAATTTGAACTGCCAGATGAATAATTACAATAGTTCAGTCTATCCCTTGTTTTTTCGGTTTTAGTATCAGTGATAAAAGTAGGACTGGATTCAACTCCATACGTTTTGTTTATTTTTATGTTGATGAAACGTGATGCAGTCTGTTCCTCTTCAGACAATTCCACGGAAATACAGTATGTTATTCGTCAGGTTGCTCAAATATTTTTACGTGAGGAATACTCTGGATTTTGTCAGGGAATTTCGGTTTTGTGTACCTTCCTGTGATGAAGAAAGTACCAGTATATTCCTTGGAGGCTTGTGACTGACTTCAACAAATTAGTGCTTGTTCATGGAATTTTAGCAGCTATGATCCCTTTTGGATGACAGAAGACAAAAATGACTGGGAGGTGAATGAATTCATTTATCTTCACATCAACATTACTGACTTCTTATTGATTACTATGAGTGTATGCACTTAGTTCATAGATAAGTGTTGGACAGTTAAGCTGCAGATTGTGGAATCTGTTGATTAGCCTGATGTTTTTGTCAAATAGGACGAATCGATCTCCTAACTTTGATATTCACATGTTAGGAATGATACATCTGTTTACTGTATTCTGCTAAATACGAACAGTTCGAAACCCACAAAATCACTTTGATCACTGATTAATCATGTAACACAGAATATGTCTATGTGATGTCAGTATGTGCCTACCACTAATATGGTCTGTGAAATGTAAAATTATGTAGGTCCATAATAAAATCTGATGACCCGCTGAATGAAAGGATTTTGAAATCTTCATCAATTCTCTGTCTAATTTTCAGTCCATTATGACTTGCTCTTCATGATTCATTCGCAATTTTCAAATAACATGAATTACATCCACTACTTAAATAGAATACGTAAACATATTGCTCATGTTGGTTTGTTCTCTGAGTTGGATGGTTGGGTTGTGGAGCTTTTATCGTCCTTCTGAACGACATTATCAGCACAAACTTCGGGCTCCACAACTCAACCATCCAGCTCAGAGAACAAACCAACATCAAAATCACCCACCTGAGCTACAAATGTTCTTCACCA